TAGAATTCCACTGACTCAGATTCCATTGGTTCATTTGTAGCTTGGTCAACTCTGTGAGGTACTTGAATGCAGCAGTATTTTCATCCGAAGGCGGAAAATTATAAGATATATTATTAAGATTCAACACTTTAAGCTGTTCATTCTTCTGAAATGTTGGTAGCTGTATTTTACTGGTGTTTTTCAACCCATTTAGATTGAGGGACCCCAGCTTGGGAAAATTGAAGAAGCTAGTATTGTGAAGTCCATCCTCCAAATGACAGTCGCTCAAACTTAAGTGTTTTAATTTTCTGTAATTGCATTCTTTTCTATCAATGAAAGATAACCGTAACAGATTTCCATTTAAGGATAGATTCCGTAAGTTCTGCATAATAGTTTTGTTCTTTGGACAGAGTGTCGAATTCGAAAAGAATCCCGTGTGTGAGAGGTCCAATGTCCTTAACCAGGTATAAGTCTTTGGAATAGACCCAATCGAAAAATTTAAATTCTTGTTAGAACTCAGAATCAATGTTCTGATTTTAAGTTTTCTAATAAAATCCACGGAAAAGTATTCGATAGAATTATTCCGAAAGATTAAATGCCACAGATTTTTAGGAAGTAAATCGATGATATATTTAACTAATGATGTGTTGAGGCCTACATTTTCCAAACAAAGCGTTGTCAGTCGTGTAGAATTAAATATATCCTCCAAGCCATCACGTATTCCTGCTCCTAGCACAGGACTATTTTTTACTTGAAGTATTTTTAGGTTTATGAATTTTGAGAATAATCCATTCTGAATTGATCGTATTTCGTTATCATGAAGGTTGATACATGTTATGTTCTTCCAATCTAATTTTACAAACAATTGTGTCGTTAGTTTTGATATGTTTAAATTAGATATTTGAACACATTTCGTTTTATTTACATGTTTCTGAAATGGAGGGCAGTAGTTTGTTGACAGTGTGCTTTTTGTTACAAGAGCAAGCACGGAAAAAAGTGCAAATGTAGATGTAACCTGCAATTAAAATAAAGAAAATATTGTCATTATTTCTTAGATAGTTACACAATTATATTATGATAAAACAGAACAAACAAAACTTATTGGAGAAAGATATGTTCAAAGTTGGAATTTAACATAGACTAGAATGTGCAAAAGAGTTTACACATATAAATGTTTTAAAATGACTATTTACTACATAAAGGATCATTAATCTTTTCTTTTACATAGTAATCCTCAATAGGCTCAATTGCATTTCAATGAAAAAGAGATTACAACTAATGGCTCAAAACGTTTCTTTAAAAATACATGTATGCATGATATTTTGAGATTCAAATTAAACATATAATTATGGGACATTTTTGCTATTATCTTAACTGATTTACTTCTAATTTCTTTAAAAAGTAAAGAAAGCTTAAGTTAGGTCCAGTCCTCAATATCAACAATAAGCTGTTTACTGATACAAATGGTGTGATTCGCAAGATATTCGCTTTATTTGTTTAAATATCTATGTTGAAGATATGTCTGTTGTTTTTGTTTGCATTTATCCTTGAAAAAGAATCAATCTCTTTTAATAATAAATTATGAATAATAGGTACATGTATTTTCAAACTAAGACAAATGAATTTTCCGTCTTGATAACCTGAAACTAGCTCATGCAAAATTATTTTGATAGAATTTTTAATACTGTTCTTTTTCTACATTCGCATAAGATTATTTATGTGACAAAAATGTATTAAATTCTGATATTCAATAGAAGAGGGAATATTTCCCTATAAAAAACACACCATCATGTGATACCAGTAGATTGTCCTTAAATGGAACGATTACAGCGTTCTTAACAACAATTAAAATGTAATTTGAAGCATTGACGGTTCATTAATGATTAAATTAAGATGTGAAGTCTGATTGGTAGTGTTTATATATCGTTATTATTATTATAGTACAATATAAATAAATTTTGGAATGTAACTCACCATCTTTGCAAAGTCCTTTTGATGATGAACTTGTACCTGTAATAACTTCCTTATAAAAAGGAAGTTAATAAAGTTCAGTCATTGAAAAAAAAAGTATGCAAAGTACACAGTTAATTAATTCTATCCTTTGCAGATTAAGAGAGGCAAATTGGGGAAGTTGGAAAGTAATTAATCACATGTATGCAATACGCAAATGACATCGTTTGCTGAACAGTTATAATAGGAAATTAAGTGAAAATACACATGGTATATTTTATGTACTGTTAAATTAAAGCCTTTCATCGATTTTGAACTCAGATAAGCAAGTCAAGTAAATTGTATTTATAGTCGGAATGATGACACAGTATAATAGAGATAACAAGAGCTGTGATAGCTCTTTAACCGACTTTAACTTATTTACACAAAGGTAAAAATTACTAAAAATATACATAGATAGTACAAAAAACATAATTTAAATGAACCATTAAAATAAAACATTAAGGATAAGAAATAAATACAGATACAACAAAAAATAAAATGAAGCAGCATAAATTAATTTGCACATGTATGATTATCACATGTAGATGGAAATGCAAAGTACAGTACAGCACAAATAATTACAATTATAAGCACTGATCATGCTAATGTAATAAAAAAATAAACAGTAGAGCACAAATTAGCATGTAATTGACATATATGACTATCACAAATAATGACATAATGTCATAAAGCACAGTAGTACAGCACAAAACATTTACTAGCACTGATAGGAAAGAAAAACTGAACAAAAAGGAAAGCCACATACATGTAGACATGCAGTAATTACTCATCATATGACCATACCTTTCTACAGTTAAGGTGGAATGCCACACCAACTTTTTATTTTATAGATCTTTGAGTCATCCTTTTTAAACAATGGTTTCAGCATTGAAAGGCCGACATTAGCTCTTAATTATTATGTTCCCCAAACGAAGTTTGGGAACATATTGTTTTTACTCGGTTTCTTATTATTATTATGTTCCCCAAACGAAGTTGGGGAACATATTGTTTTTACTCTGTTTCTTATTATTATTATTATTATTATTATTATTATTTTTCTTCTTCCTGGGAAAATCTTTTCCGCGAATGATCTTGTAAACTACACGTCCGACTTAGGTGAAACCTTTTTAGGGTCAGTAGGCATGTTATGTAGATTTGCGGAACGAAGGTCATTTTGCGCGCACGTGCTTGCAAGAGCGCGCACGTGCAACGCGTGAAATGACCAAAATAATAGATACAGCCTTAACTTTTCTATTTTTTGATTATATGCTTTGATACTCATAATATAAGTATATATTAGTAGTATAGACGTGTTGACATGGTCAAAATAGCAAGATCTCACGCGCATGCACGTGCGCTTCACTCTGATTGGCTGAAACTAAAATCTCAAATATCTTTCTTGTTTTTCGTCATAATCCTTTGAAATTTTGAACTTAGTCACACAATTTGAAGATCTACAGTATGATATATAATGATTTTCATGAAAGCACGTACATGCGCGTGTGCTGGCAAGAGCGCGCACGTGCAACATGTGAAATTACCAAGATAATGGATGAAGCCGTAACTTTTCTATTTCTTGATGGAATTTTTTGAAACTCACAAGGCATGAATATAGTAGTAGTATGGACAAGATGACATGGTCAAAATTGCAAGATCTTACGCGCATGCACGTGCGCTTTGCTCTGATTGGCTGAAACTAAAGTCTCAATATCTTTCTTGTTTTACGTCATAATCCTGTGAAATTTTGAACTTAGTCACATATTATGAAGATCTACCGCATGATATATAAGAATTATCATGAAAGCACATAAATCCACGTGTGCTGCAATCTAATTGGCTAAAACTTTACATGCCTATATCTTTCTTGTTTCTCAACAAAACAGGATGAAGTTTAGAATATGAATAGGTATTATGGATTCCTACATGATATTGCTATCAAAATTGAATGCAAGGACGTGCTTGCATGCACATGCGCACACGCAATGCGTAAAATGAACAATATTTTTGAAAAACGGTAAAATTTATATTTTTATGACTTTTTAATGATTTCTGGAATATAAAGAAATGTTAATGGTTTAGACAACATGTCCTGATCACCTTGCATGTGCATGCACGTGCGTTTGCGAACAATGCGTTAAATGACAAAAAAGTGATATTATTGTAGCTTTTAAAATTCTTTTATGAAATCCTGCGATACTAAGCATATTGAAAACAGTTTTAAAGGAAATTTGCACAAAAAGGGAGTTGGGGAGCATTTGGGGAACATCTGTAACGGTCCCCGTTACAATTAGAACTAGTTATTATTATTCTTTTTTTTCTTCTTTGTTCTCCGGTACTTTTTTGTCCGCGAGTGTTCTCAGAAACTGTTCACCCAACTGAGCTAACACCTTTTTAGGGTTAATAGGTGTGTAGTGTAGGTGTGCAACACGAAGGTTATTTTGCGCGCATACGCATGCACGTGCGGGCGCGTGAAATGAGTGAAATGACGGATATACTTTATATAGCAATAACTTTAACATTTTTTGATGAAGTATTTTTAAACTCATTTAATAAGGATATATTAATAGTGTAGATAATATGACACTGTCAAATTAGCACGAACTCACGCGCATGCACGTGCGCTTCGCTCTGATTGGCTGCAACAAAAATCTCAATATCTTTTCTGTTTTTTGACGAAATGCTAGGAAATTTAAAATATAGGCATACTTTAGGATGTGCTACAATATGATATGTAACAATTGTCATGTAAACACGCGCATGCACGTGCGCTGCAATCTGATTGGCTTAAACTTTAAATGGCTATAACTCCCTTGTTTTTCAACGAAACAGTATGGGATTTAGAACATAGACAAACATAATGGACTCCCACAAGGAGGTATGGTCGTCATGCACATGCATGCACGTGCGTGCACGTGTGCTTTGCTGTGATTCGCTGAAACAAAAATCGCAGTATCTTTCTTAATTTTTGACGAAATGCTTTAAAATTTTAAACATAATCATGCATTAGGATGTCCTACAATATGATATATAACAGTTGTCGTGAAAACATGCGCATACACGTGCGCTGCAATCTGATTGGCTTAAACTTAAAATGGCTATAACTTCCTCGTTTTTCAACCAAACAGGATGGGATTTAGAACATAGACAAACATAACAGACTCCTACAAGAAGATACAGTCGACATGCACATGCATGCACGTGCGTGCACGTGAAATGAGTAAAATTACAAATACACTAGATTAAAACGTATTTTTTAATACTTTTGGATAAAACGCTGTAATTTCTAGTATATAAATAGTGTAGACAAGATGATATGGTCATTACGCACATGCATTCAAATGCGCATGCGTGCAATGCATAAATTTGAATATACTGAATATACTTCTGGGAAAACATTGTTATAGTCTAAAAGGCATAGAGTTCGTCTCATTTAATGAAGATTACAGGGAATAAGGCACCAAAAGGGAGTTGGGGAGCGTTTGGGGAACATCTGTAACGGTTCCCGTTACAATTAGCCCTAGTTTTATATGAATTTTTTTGTATTTTTTCAAAGAAAATGAAAAAAAAATTATATTCAAATAAGTTGTTTCCGAGTTAAAAGTTTGCTGTAAATGAATGCATCATATAAATATCTAATAAAATATGTAAAGAAAGGCTGGTTAAACTTTTTAATTTAAAAAAAAATATTTATGAAAATAAAACACATTATTTGTAAATATTTTTTATACCTATGGTTAAAAACAGTCACAAATAAAACTAGTCACAACTGAGGACAACATGTTTGTCAATCATTTTAAAAAGAAATTAAAACGAAATTGAGAAATTTTAGAGAAATTACTTCTTTTAATATTTGGACCTAACCCAATCAAAATTAAACTGATCCCGATCAAAATTAAAACAAAATGAATAAAATGCTAATTTATTGCCTCTTCATGTATTTACAATGAAGAAATCTATTTTATTGTCAATTTTAATGTTTTAACCCTTATTACACCCCTTTTGACTAGTGTTCTTAGGGAAATGTTATTTATTTCCAATAAATGTACAATTATGGTCGGGATCGGTTTAATTTTGATCGGGATTGGCCAAAATTTAAAAAAAATTAATTTCTCTAAAATTTGGCTATTTTGTTTCAATTTTTTTTAATAAATATGATAAATGAACATGTTCTCCCCAGTTGTGACTGGTTTTAAGAAGATTTTAACCACAAGTTTAAAAAATATTCACAAATTATGTGTTTTATTTTCATAAAATTAATATTTATTTATTTAAAAAAATTAATATCTATACGGCTTTCCTTTACATATTTTATTAGGTATTTATGTGGTGCATTCATTTACAGCAGTTTTTTTTTTTTTTTTTTTTTTTTTTTTTACAAAAAAGCATCTGATTTGGATGTAAATATTTTTTTTCATTTTCTTTGAAAAAATACAAAAAAAATCATATAAAATAATTTAGAGCTAATATCGGCTTTTCAATGCTGAAACCATTGTTTAAAAAGGTTAACTCAGAGATCTATAAAATAAAAATTTGGTGTGGCATTCCTCCTTAAATTGGCTTTATTTTTGTGTTTGATTCAAGTCAGTTCAGTCACTGACGAATCTTATTAATATCAAACTGTCATGCACATGATTGCGGGATATATAAAATTAAAAACCATGATGAAAGAAGAAGTATAAATGTACATACTATTTTTTTTAAGAAAATTATTTTCTCTATACCTTAGTCCCTATATATATGTCTCCATATGAGTGAAAAATTCTCGAAAGGGACATTAAACAATATACAATCAATCAATCAATCCTTCCATATCTGTCCATCTTTTTCTTATGTTTTCTCTTAATCTGTTAATGAAATGTGTTCGGTGGTCTACACCACATCACTTCAGCGTCAATTAGATACTTTTTCTAAATTTTGTGAAAAAATTGCATTTAAAGTTGAATATTAAAAAACTAATTTTTTATAGAGTCAAAGTGAATCACAATATAGTTTTAAAATATTATACCCAGTAAAAATGAAGTACCATTGGAAGTCGTTACCGAGTACAGACTTATTGGTGTTACATTTTCTAAATGTGCGTCATCTATTAATAATGTAAAAGGGTGTAAAATTTGTAAACGAATTTCAAATGAATATAGTTTATTAAAATGTGTGGAAATGTAATACCGTTAATGTCAAATGATTTTAAAAAGTATATGTTATTCTTATAGATCAATTTAAACAGTAATGGTATAGTGAAATGTCAAATACACCAAAAGCACGGTGGTTTCTCCTTAATCTGCTCTTTATACTTTAAACATATTTTATTGAATAATTCAATAAGGATTGGGCAACAGGCAAGGCCTATGTACACCCTCTCCTAGTATAATAGGTCAAGTTACAGATATTAAATAATAATACTTGTACATGATAATCAATAAAATTATAATGAAAAATAAAGATTCACAATCAGTATTATTAATCAATATTGTGTTTCAAAAAAGATGACAGCCCCCTGACTGTATACATATTATTTACATACTGTTCCAGCTTACAAATAATACAAATATTTGGGAAAAAAATTATGCATTTAATAGAATATTTCATATAACAGTGTCCCTAATTTAGTCTCTTAGAAGATTTAATATATTCTTGTACATCTGCTCTTTGCCGAAAGCGCAAATTAAACAGGAATACACAGCAAAATGTTAAATGTTTAGTGTTGGCATTCCATGTTATTATTAATAGTAACAAGGTATCAACATGGAATGCCAACACTAAACATTTAACATTTTGCTGTGTATTCCTGTTTAATAAGAAAGTCTTAAATGTATGAACGAGCTGATTCAGTAATTCGCTATCAAAAACTAAGTTTTTATGACGTCTCTAAAAGTTTCTGTTCCTCGCATGCGCCATAAGATTTCAGCGATCTTCCCTTTCTGTGACTTTTTCTGAGTTTGACATACACGTTTGTTGTTATGACAACAACGACCATTAAACAACACAAAACAATGGCGGTTATGACATACTGATTAAATGGTTGACAATCTGTTACTTTTGGCTTGAATTCATCCAGTGATTTGCCTTTCCAGTCCAGTGGTTCAAAGCAATGGTAAGAGGTCTGCCAATCCTGAACAATTTTTTGTAATTTTCTCTCTAAAATCCAATTTTTATAGGGCATTAATTCACATGTACAACGAAACGGGTTTCCTTTGAGATTGAAATTTGTCACACTAGGTGGTATAGAATTTGGGTCCACCAATTCAATCAAATTATATGGCAACCAGAGAGTTGTCAGATTTTTATTCGTTTGCTTTGACATGTAATCCAATTTTGAAATCCTATTGTTGTTCAATTTCAGTGTTTTTAAGTTGTTCATTTGACTGATAATACGAGGAATTGATCCTAAACCAGTAGAAGTCAAATCCATTTTCTTCAACGTGTTTGCTACTGGTGTGAAAAGAACACATAATTGGTCAGATTTCCACGATGTCATGTTCCATTTTCGCATTTCAAGATATTGTAGATTCTTCAAATTTTGAAAACATTTCATGTTATCTGTTGAAGGTTGAAAAAAATTGTTTACTACATCATTGATAGACAGAGTGAGCAGATTTTTTGTATTACTAAATGTAGGTAATTGGACCATGTTTGTTATTCCGTTCATATATAAATGTTCTAAATTTGGGAAAAACGAGAAACTTTCACTATTGATTGGCACTATAAATCGACATCGGTTTAAATACAGAGATATGATTTTTGCGAAACAGTTATTTTTAATGTCAACCGCGGATAAGTTTACTTCGTTTCCTTCCAAATGCAACACTGAAAGATTTGGAAATACACAAGTGCCATTTATTTGAAATGTAGTATTCCACCGAAAACCCGAATATGATAAAATCAAATGTGTCAAAGAGGGTATCGTTCTATTCATGATAAGTGAAAGATTTATGTTGAAGGAAAGATCCAAAATTTGAGTATCAGTTTTCGAAATGTAATCAGTCGAAAAGAACGAAATGACGTTGTTTCGAAGAACTAAATGTTCCAATGATTTGGGTAGAAAGAGGTGTAGATCCTCCAAAATGGACGAGTCTAGTCCCACATTGTCCAAGCTTAATTGGCTTAATTTCGTTTTATTTATATTTAATAAACCATCTTTGATCGTGTTCTCCTCCATTGAGAGATTTGTTAGACATAATTCGGAGAGGTTTACCAACTTTGAGAAGAGTGCTTTTTCGATAAAGCGTATTTTAGCATCACGCACTTGAAGACATTTCACGTGCTTTATATCTTTCTTTTGAGCTTTTATATCTTTTTCCGTGAAATTTTGTCCATGCATTTTCTTCGACGTTATTGTAATACAGTTCATTTTTCTTGGTTGACAAGGTCGTTTGACCGATGTCAAGGTCTCGATGTTCCAAATAAACAGGAAGTTCAAAAGAATGGAAAATGCTTTTGTTTTCTATAATAAAAACAAAATAATCGCATTAGAAAGCAAGTCTACAATTAGCACATTTTGCTGCAATAATTGTATGATAGTTAAAAATTGTATGTCTTTGTTACATACGTATACTTAATTAAATAATTAACAAAATTCAACAGGATTCTTCTCTGGTTTGTAAGTAAATGAAAAATTAAAAGGACGTGTACATGTATATTTGTCCATGTCTGACATACTCATATTTAAGGAATTTAAAGAATCAAATATTTCTTTTCTCTTTATAATTTTTATAATTGTATAATTTTAAATAGAAATATATTGAATCAAGTTTGAATTAAAAACAAAACAAAACAGGGATTATATTTTTTATGGAAAGGTGGCATAAAAATATCTCCTTTCCTGTGTCTCAAAATATCTGTTGAACGATAGATATTCATGTATTTAAAACTTTTAAGAAATTTTCTAATGTAGCTCAAATTAATAATTATTATTAGATTTAAAAATGAATTTGTCAAAGAAAGAAGATTTTCTATACAAACTTTTAAAAGCCAGCAAGATATTGTTGGTGGCATTTGAAAGCTTCCAATCAAGCAAATGAGCAAGAGATATGTAGATTCAATTGTAAGAAGGTTTTCTCTCAGTCATGGTCACAACATTTTTTTTCGTTTCAAATTGCATCTTTATATGACTACTTTTTGAAATATGTGAAGCGTATTATAGAAAACAAGCAATTCAAAGAATTGTGGTCCCCGCTTTCTGTGTTTTTGTGGATAAGATGTCATTATTTATTGCATGACTTTATATGAAAAATTAGGACAGACATGAAGGTCAAGATCAAAGGGTCAGAAAACATAACATGTTCGGAAGTATCTTGTCACGGGTAATGCAGATCTCAAATATGACACCCCTAATCTCTTCTCAAAAGTTATAAGGGAGAAATAACATTTTTAAAATGTAGGTCAAACGTCAAGGTCACAGGGGTAAAAATCATATTGCATCTATAAAGGTCTTGTCACAGATAATGTGCAAGTGAAAAAGGAAGGTTCTATCTCTTCTCATTCAAAAGTTATACTCAATGTTAATGTTTTTATAAAGTAGGTCAAACGTCAAGGCCATACGGTCAAAAATCATAGTGTCTATAGAAAGGAATTTTTCAAAAATTTGAAACATTATTTTAGATTTATAATATGGTTTTTGACCAGGTGACATTGACCATAAATATTGAGCTACTTTTTTCTATATTACGCGCAATTCACACAAAAATTAATTAAAAATCTTATTTCATTTGAAAGATCTTGAAATGGCGGGTTTAGACACATCTGCACTTTCACAAATTTTAAACTTATTCTTAATCCTTAGGGCGTATATTGTTTTCGTCCTGTCAGTTAGTTTGTCTGCAAACTTTAACCTTCGCCATAACTGTACATGTATGCATACTCCACTAATTAAGCTCTTTCAATTGACACCAAGTACAATGACCTATTGACCTGGACTGTTACCTATATGGTAAAGATAGCCTTTTTATCTGCAAAATATAACCTTTACCGTAACTTTTGAACCATGAAAGATAGAGACTTCATATTTGGTATGCATACTCCACTATTTAAGCTTTTTCAAATAATTTCAAGGTCAATGACCTTGTAACCTTGACTGTGACCTATATGCAAAAAATAGCTCTTCCGTACCTTCGCTATAACTTATGAACCATACCTTGGTAGGACATAGAGACTGCTTATTTAGTATGCAAATTCAACTAATTAATTTTTTTTAAAATAGTACATGTACCAAGGTCAATGACTGTGACCTTGACTGTGACCTGTATGCTAAAATAAAAATAGCTTTTTCGTACCTTCGCCATAACTTTAGAACCATAAGAGATAGAGCTTTCATATTTGGTATACATACTCCACTAATCAGATTCTTTTTAATGACCAAAAGTTCAATGACCTTGTGACCTTGACTGTGACCTACAAACAAAAAATAGCTTTTTTAGAACTTTGTTGCCGCCGGGTGTATGATAGTGTTTCACAAACACGTCTTGTTTAAAAAATTGTTTTTCCTTATAACTTTCGAGAAGAGGTAGGGCTTTCGTATTTGTTATGTATATTAGCTGAGACTAGATGCTCCGGAGCATACTATGATTTTTAAACCCTCGATTTTGACCTTCAAGGTTTGACCTTATTTTAAGAAAACTAACTTTGGAATGACATGTGATAAGGCATACATATTTGACCCAATATGCCATAAATAATACCATCTCATCCACTAAGACATCGAAAGCGGGGAGGGGGCCCAATTCTTTCAATATGCTTGCTTTTATTGTTTTCAAAATAATGATGTAAGTAGACAAAACATGAGATATTGGATATGCCAGTTATTATATAGTATATAGCATCCTCTGATATATCTCACAAATGTCTGATGAGATATCTTAATTTTTTTATGAGGAAACTTGCTGAAGTAGCAATTCTTCAAAGGCAAATTCTTTAAAAATATATAGCCCGTATACATACGTATTATTAAGGACCCTGTCGTCTGACGTTAATACTGTTTCATCTTAAACTACCTTCGGTCTGTGTTGGATACACCTTTTCTTCTTTCAACTTAAATGTTCACAATCCCCCCCCCCCCCGATCATGCACATATTGCATTCATATAAAAATTTATCCTAATGCATATGATTCTCCAAAGATAACTAAACTCTACATGTATACAATGTAATATAGTTTAATAGATATTTCTTTCTTATTCTTAGTGAGTGTTATCTCTCTTGATAAATGTGCCAGACGACCGGTAAGCCTTAAAAACGTGAAGAATTTTAAAGACCAAGTGGACTGCGGTAATATTTTGCACTAACCCCGAAACTCTTGCATAAGTATATAAGGAAATTAGTAGAACAATGGTGTATCACCACAAAATTCCTTGGTGATTTTTATAAATCTATGATTCCAGTAAATGTTTAGAAAACGTATATAATCATTATTGATATAATAATTTTAACTGTAAAGCATTTTTGTTTTTCAAAACATGTACTCACCATTGTGGATTTAAATGTTTCCTCGTTGGTTTTTTTAAACTCTGAATTTAGTCCCGTCCTATCAAGGAAGCGATGCTTATTCTCACGCTATTAAAAGAAACTATCTCTTATTTCCGCATTAACATTTGTTTTGGGTAATTCAGGTTTAATGACCCTCCTCTTATAAGAGAAAAACAGTAACTCTTAGTAGTAAAAGATTTTATTTATGCCTTTAGAAAAGTTAAATTAAAAGGCCACTTCTGTTACATTTTTCCCAACAGCATGTAACTTCAAATTATTTGTATTTTGATCATAATTATATATTTTTTAAAATTATTTTAAAAATGTAGAAGGCTTAATCATGTTGATTAATGATGACATGAGTTTTAACGTGAACAGGGGTGGTGAACCTTAATCAATGTCAGATGGCAAGTACATTTTTTTGCCCCCGTAAACGAAGTTTCGGGGGTATATAGTTTTTGTCGTGTCCGTCCGTCTGCCTGTCTGTCCGTCTGTCTGTCTGTCTGTTTGTCTGCTAAAACTTTAACCTTGCCTATAACTTTTGATTTAGTGGAACTATGACATTCATATTTCACATGTGTATTCCTTGTGACAAGACCTTTCTTTGGTACCACTAAATTTGACCTTTTGGCCTTGACCTTGGAGTTTGATCCACTTTAACACAACAATTTTGAACTTTTATTTTGGCCATATCTTTTTATCAATAAATACCAGGACATTTATATTTATCATATGTATTCTTTGTGGAAAGACCTTTCATTGGATACCAACAACCTTAATCTTAACCTTTTGACCTTGACCTTGGAGATTTCCGTACTTATGAAAAAACTTTAACCTTGGCTATAACCTTTGAACAATAAGTACTAGGGCTTTCATACTTCACATATGTAATCCTGATGAAAAGACCTTTCATTGGATACCACGAACCTTGAGCCTTTGACCTTGACCTTGGAGTTTGACCGAAGGGTTCGGACTAGGGCATTCATACTTCACAAATTTAATCCTTGTGACAAGACCTTTCATTTGATATCAAGAATCTTGACCCTTTGACCTTGACCTTGGAGTTTGACTTACTTTTTACAAACTTTAACCTTGACCATAACTTTTGAGCAGTAGGGGCTAGAGGTTTCATATTTCACACGTGTAATCCTTGTGACAAGACCTTTCATTGGATATCAAGAATCTTGACCCTTTGACCTTGACCTTAGAGTTTGACCTACTTTTTACAAACTTTAACCTTGGCCATAACTTTTGAATGGTAAGGGCCTGCACTTTCATACTTCTCATACGTTATCTTTGAGACAAGGCCTTTCTTTAGAACCAAACAACCTGGAACCTTTGACCTTGACCCGGGGTTTGTCCTATATTATAAAATGTTAACCTTGGTCATAACCCTGGAACAGGTGTAGCTAGCGTTTTATATTTCGCATTTCTTGTGAAAAGGCCTTACTTTGGTACCAATATATTTGATCTGCATTTGAGAAAGCTTAACCTGCGCTGTGTTGCCATACGGGGGCATCAGTGTTTCACAAACACATCTTGTTTTAGCAAGAATTTGTCTTTGGCAGTATTGTTACTTTAATAGCTTTCCTCACAAAATATACTTTAGGTATCTTACCAGGCATTTGTTCAAGGTATCAAATGATGGCGTTCTCTACATAATATTTTTTTAATTTTTAGTTTAACGTAATTTATTATGCTCACACCTACAATCAGCGGTGCATATTATATGGTACAATAAATGATTAATTCGACATAGTACAGTTGTGAAAAAGAATTAAATATCTAATATAAAATAATATAGATGAGAGACATATTCACGTGTACACAGTAAAGTAACAGACACAAAATTAGAATAGACAAAAAGACTCTGAAATTGATTGATATATTTTAAACATCTACAAAATAAACATATCCAATTAAATTTTTCGAGGACAGAATATCTTCAATATTTATGTATTGTGATGAGATATAATACAGATGCTCAAGGAAGCTTTTAAGATGTCTGAATTTCAGCTTCTTATAATGTATGTATATCTTCTGCAACTAACACAGTTTGTTATGAGACAAACACTTCATAAAAAATGTGTTTTTTTATTTTGTTTCTTTTTCTTTACTAGCTGATGTCATTTTTCTCTTTACATGGTTAGAACACGAAAACATAGAACATACAAGCATACAGTGTGGAAATTGTGAACTGTTTGTACAGTGTGAGAAGAACTTTTGAGGATACATTTTACGATAATTTAGGGGGAAAACAGAATTTTAAACACTGAAGAGGCAACTGAATAGACAATAGCTGCAATAATCAAGGGGCATTATCAATTAAAGACGGTGGTATTTGATATAATTATCTATATTTGTAATAATTTCTACATGTTTTACATGTTGTTTATGACATTACCCTGTTTGTAAACAGGTTCTAAATTAATTCGAACATTTTGTTAAGTACACAAAGAAGGCTGGAATTAGCTGGCAGTCGGTTGTAATCGACGATATCGGAACCTTGGACGCTTCTTCCGTTTCTTTCTTTCTTTGCAACATTCCACAATATTAGTCACAAAAACAATCAGCACCATTAAACAACACAAAACCATAGCTGTGATGACATATTTGTTAAACGGTTGACAATCAGTAGGTTTCGGATGAAACTCTGCTAAACTTTTGTTTCTTTTATCCAGAGGTCGAGCACAGACGTAATTTTTCGTCCATTGATGTTCGTTCGGTTTATAAAGCTTTTTTTCTTTGAGCCAAATGATGTATGGAACTAGACTACAATTGCATCGAAATGGGTTTCCGGAAAGATCGAATGATTCAACAGTTTTTGGCAAGCCTTCAACATCCACAATTTCTATTCTGTTGTGTTGGAGTTGTATGTTTCTGAGAATCATGCTTTTAGATATGGCATTTCCCAATTCATTTATCATATTATTTGTCAGGATTAAATCTTCCAGCTTCGAGAATGTCTGAATAACCTTTGGGATAAAACCAAGGTTGTTGCAACTGGCATTTAAAAAAGTCAGGTTTTCCAGTGGTTTTAAAAAAGTTTCTAAATTATTGCGTTTCCAAGCTCCTAAATCAAGACCTCGAACTTCAAGATGTTTTAGACTCGTCAGATTACTGAACATACCAATGGTGTTATCATTTTCAATGAAATTAAACTTCAGATCGTTCATATCTAAATGTTCCAACTGCATACTCATAACAGGTACTTGATATATATTAAAAGTTTCGCTCAAGCTTAAAGTCTTCAAATTATACAGATATTTGAAGCTGTCGTTGTATAAGCCATCTTCAAATATACAGTGCTTAACAATGAGAATTTTTAAATTTTGAAGACAGTTGTCTTCAACAGCTATCGTTGAAACGTTTACAAATGTGTGACCCAAGTCGAAATGCTTAAGATGAGGCAAAACACAAACGCTGTCATTATTTTTGAACAATTTTTTCCAGAAAAATCCCGTAAAAGCCAACGAAATGTTGGTGAGTGGCAAAGTCTTGTTTACTTTGTCAACTTCGAGGTGTCTAAAATGGATGTTGTAGCTAAGGTTGAGTGAAGTGAGGTCACCTAGTCCCTGGACATACGTCATCGGGAATGTCGTCAGCTCGTTCGCTGTCAATGACAGGGTCCTCAGTGTCCGAGGGAAAAAAGCGTAATTATCCGAAAGTATTTGATCATTCATTGAAATGTTGCTCAGTAATAATGTTTCTAGTTTTATCTTGTTTAATCCTTCTAATGCATATCGAATGTTTTCTTTAATCTCTGGGTTCTGGCTCAATTCAAGGTGCTTCAGGCTAGTAAAGTTTGAAAAGAAACCTGGTTGAATGGTCTTGATACTGTTGTTGATGAATTCAACCTTTTCTAAACGTTTTATACAACGCAAGTGGAAATCACTTGTGTTTAATGTGTGTATCGGAAAGTTTTCAATCGTGCATGTTTTGTTATCACTTATATTATAAACATCTTTTTGGCAATGTTTAAGACACGTGCATTTTGAATATTTGCAACTTTTCATCATTACCAAGGGTATCCAAATTGATGTCAGGATAATCAGCAAGTACTACAAAGAAAGGAAATACAGCCAGTTAGTTTTAACATCCTTGCAACGTTTGTTTTATATGTCTAAGCAAGTCTAGAATTATTTTGTTTTAAGTAAGATATACGATTGATTGATTGATTGTATACTGTTTAACGTCCCTCTCCAGAATATTTCACTGATATGGAGACGTCATCATTGCCGGTGAAGGGCTGCAGATTTAGGCCTATGCTCGGCACTTACGGCCTTTGAGCAGGGAGAGATCTCTATCGTGCCACACCTGCTGTGACACGGGGCCTCGGTTTATACGGTTTTGTTTTTAGTCGCCTTTTACGACAAGCAAGGGGGTACTAAATATATATATCATATTCATAGCCCGATAATATATATAATATATCATATATTTAAAATATATATATTCGATACATATGGTGGTAATGTTTGTGCTTATTAATGACAGTTTTCTTTAAAATTTAATAGAGCCAATTTTAGGTAACTGAAAAAAAATTAAGAGCACAAATGTTATTAAAGAATTAATTTATATGAATATTTAAATAAAATCAAGTAAATTAACTTTTTAACTTAATACAAACGTTACTTCCGGTTTGATATGGATTTTCGGCCCGCCGGTCCGATAATATGGCTTTTCGGACCGGTTGATATGGGGTATTGTGACGTCACCCGTTTGCAGAATCGGTGTATTTACTACTAAGTATATGATAAGGACCTATTCTAACCCGGATCCCCACGGGACAGTAAGATATACGAGGGTTGATCCAAAAGTAATGTCACAACTTTGATAAAATTACTATGAATCGACGTAAAGCAAATAAATTAAACATGATGGAAGCTTTATTTATTTCAAATCAGACCTGAAAAATTCAAAGGAATATGATGTATACTTATCAAAATATCGGATTTTAAACAATGCTTGTTTATGGTAGTCGCCGCACCTAAATATAACGTCATATGACGGATACACACCGTCAAACTTTTAAGCGTTTCCCCTTCGTTTCATTTAAAAAATATTTGATTTGCAAATACTTTCACCAATTGCACTTTCTTTAAGAATTCTTGGTACCATAATACACTTACTCTTTTCATAATTAAGCCCTCTGTCAAATTTGTGAACAGTAGCATAAGACAAACTTAAAAATTCACATGTCACTCTATACGTTTGTTTGTTTTTGTTTTTGACAATGTCAGACACCATTGAAAGTTTCACTCCGATTTCCCATCTTTCGGTCTTCTTTTCCTCTGCTGATCATTCAGTGACCAATCAACCGCCCAAAATTGCTGAAACCATCTATTGAGATGTACGTCTCTTATTTACATTCTTTATTCTGTAAGTCTGATTAATTAACGTAACTGTCGTTAGTGATGATTCCCATATTTTGAAGCAAAAATGCATTACAACTCGTCGAGCCGTTTTTTCCCATTTCGACAATCCCTTTGGTCAATTCAACAGAGTAAAACAACAATGTTTATGATCATAAATACCAATGCCGTCATTTAATTTTCAGTTAAAGACTAGAAAAAGACGAGTATTGTGTCTTTTAAAAAATTGGAAGATTAGATGCTTTTTTAGAGTCGTTTAAATGTGTTTGTCTTTTTTATTTTAAGAAAAAATACACTTTAAAATGTGACGTTCCGCTGTGACGCGGCGACACCCCCTATGTTTTATGTTTTAAACATCTATAAAATTCAAATAAGAATTATTTAAATAAAATTTCAATGTTAATTAGATTTATATTTGTGCATCTTTTGGTATATTGTATTTGATAATATGGCGCCAAATATGAAAGATGGACACTGTGACATTACTCTTGGATCAACCCTCGTATATACATAATACATGTAAATATATAATATACATGTATAAGCCTTTTCATGCACCAGTAATTGGGGGTATATAGTTTTTTCCCTGTCCGCCCGTCTGTTTGTCCACAAAATCTTGAACCTTGATCATAACTTTTGATTGTTTGAAGCGATAGCTTTCATATTTCACAAGTGTATTCCTCGCGACGAGAACAAATATATTTCACTTATCATACCCCCCGCTTGAAAAGTGGGAGGGTATTTAGTAATCGGTATGTCCGTCCGTCCATCTGTCACGCTTTGAGGTACACATCTCTTATCCGTAACTCCTCTCATATCACATCATATTTTTTGCTGAAGGAAATTTGATGAGACTTTCACAGAATCTTGATTACATGTGTGTGTGTGTGTGTTTCCTATAGCAACACATGGACAGTTTGGACATGTGTGTGTGAGTTCTTTGCTCACAGTACCTGTATAGTTTAAAAACACATGAATGTATATTCAATCTACATGTGTGTGTGTGTCCCAAATATATTTCTGGAGAAGGGGTGTGTGTGGGGGGGGGGGGGGGGGCTAAAAATTAAATTAACATTTAAAATCTTAAATCTCCAGCACAATGATAAATTTTATATTTCTAAAAGCTGGCAAACGGTTGGAAACACAATCACTTCCTGAATGGCTTTAACATGACATTACTGTGTACATTGTATTTTCCCTTCATTTCCGTCTCATTTTCATACGTACTGCGACTAGGAAGTATTTCAGCATGGTTGAAAAGAACAAAAGAAATACACTTTTACTTATTATGTGTATCTCTTTTAGACAAAATATTAACACTCAAACTTAGAGGGTTTAATGATCTAGCATATATACATACATATCACTATTTCAGATAAAGGTAAAGGATATGGAGAAGTAAACTATGGACGTACCATTTTTGGAATGTTTAATAATCCCGTATTTTAATTGATAACCGCGTTTTATTGCGGAAGATGTTTATATATTTTATTTAGACTTGTGCAAAAAAAATTTCCTCGTTTCATTGTTTAAACAATGTGTTGCATATAGCATAATGCCATATACAGCTTGAATTATTGAATTTTTCTCTGTATGCTTTACGCCTAGTTGCATAAAAATTATAAGTGCATGTTTTGAGTATGTTTGTACATGTATATCAATTACAGAAAAATTAATTACTGCTAAGTGCTTAAACAAGAAATGCTACGCGATATTTTGAGCTGATTTCAAGGAAATAAATTTGGAAAGTACATGAGTGTTTATATTTTTATACATGCACAGTGTAAATTTAGATCTTACATTTTAAAAGGGGGTTCTAAAATGATAACTGAAATATTCTTTTGTCTTCAGAGGTCTGATACTCAGTTAAAACTTAGAATTTCGATACCATGCACTCACTGCAACATTTTCACTATATATATGAACAAAGGTACAGTATCTGATATTTCGTGAATACGTAATGTTTTCGCACGTTCAGTGCATATTTTTTAAAAGCTTGCAATTTTTTTCTCCATGCAGTACATAGAGATTACCCCCAGATGTAGGCCCCAGGTGGGTGGGGTGGAGCGGTTTCATCGAATATTTTTAGGTAAGTTTGAAAATTAGCAATCATTTAATTCATACTTTATGCGTTCATTAACTTTTCAATTGGAATTTTACTGATTAAAATTCTTTTTTTTTTTTCTTTTTGGGGGGGGGGGGGGGGTTCCTAATGAAAACAACCAGTGGCTCATGGGCCACTATACACACCATTATTATAAATTCAGCACTGCCATTCTCCATATGAACCTAGATTTATCTTTTTAAATCCAGTGGTTCAACAGAAGATTTTTTCTTTAAAGAAAATTTTTGTTTTCATTGTATATTTCAATGTCCAAACTTTCTTAATAAGTCCAAAATCTAGTATGGATGGATGGACAGACAGATGGGTTCCAGACAACAGATGATCAAAATAGCTAACTTTAGCTTTTAGCTTGGATGAGACTAAAATATCAAGAACAGACAAGCTAGTGAATACAACTTTCAATTTGGCTTTTAGATAAGGTGAAACAAAAAATATCAAGAAGAGAGGAGTGGATACAACATTTATTTGGGTAGTATAAAGTAAACCGGAGGTAGGAATGAAACAACAATGTTACACACATTAAGAAATATGCACTAAGTTAAAAAAAAAATGGAACTCAATTGTCAACATACAAGTATTGTAAAATGACAACAAAGAGACAAATACAGTATTAGAACAGTCATATGCATGAAACAAGAAGCACAAGCTCTCAAACATAGGGCGAAAAATCACAGTTTTTGAAGAAATTTGATTTCAATGTATTTATACATGTAAATGTAATTTACATTAAAAAAAAAAGTCAATAAAACAGTATTTGAAAAGAAAGCTCTTGTGACCCATATAATAAATTTTAATCCTAAATGTATATGACAAAGTCATATTATGTTGACCACTGAATTATCCTGAAAGAATTCTTATCATTTTTCTCTGTTTCAGTTTTATTATCTAGGATGATTGCCTTCATGCAGATTTCATAAATATAGAATATTGCTTTATTAAAAGACATGAAAAGACATGAACTGATCATTAACATGTTCACAAAAGCACTGTAGTATTTAATCAAGATAACAATACATAATAAAAACCCAACAAACAGAAAATACAAATACCTGAATACATGTATATGTATATAAGTATTTTGGTTCTCTGCTCATGACTAGATTGATCAGATGGCACCATAATAAATATTGGATTTCTGTGTTCCTGATAACAACCAATATGTGAACTACCTCTAATGCCCAAACCCATCATAGGTAAGATTATAATATCTAACATGTGTAAGAGATGCACATTTGTAATTGTATTAAATGTGTTAATTATGTCATGAACAAATATTGTAAATGTTTTCCTTTCTAGCATTATGCATAGAAAATATAATTATGTAAACAATTCAAGAGTGTTCCTGTGTTTAATACTGACAATTGCTTTTTTTGTTGGGGAGAGTAAGGGATATTCAACGATGCAGAAACTGAAAATCTCATGTGATTAATATTCATGAATCAATCAATTAACACATTAATCTATACAGATGTTCTGAATACAGTATGCAATATTGATAATATTAATACCCATAGAAGTTTTACAGTATTACTGTTTTGTTTGTTCAGACTTGATCCAGAGTACTTTACTATAAACATATTTCATTGCATATACATACAGTTCATGTAATTTATATTTACAATAAAATTCAACAATGTTGAATGAACACATTGAAAAAAAACATGCCTTTCAATTTCTTAAAATTGCACATATACAAGTACAATGGCCTGAAAAATTAGTTTTGTCATCTGATCTATCAACAACTGTTAACCGTTAAATCTGAAAATAAATATATTATTTAAAACAATGTTAGCTAAAATTTCGATATCTAGGAAACTAAAGGTATATGATAAAGTCTAGTGACTTGTATTTTCCTATGCCATGGTAAAAATTAAAATAATGGAGATGACAAATAATAATAAAAAAAAAATATATATAAAATAAATTAAAAAATCCACAAATTGAAATATGTTGTTTTATGGATTTATGGATAGTAAATAAGTAAATAACAATCCCTCATGAATCAGTGTAAGTGACAATATAAGAAATCTCCTAAATCAAAGTTTTCATCCAACTTTTGTAAATTTCATTTGACTCTCCCCGGGCTTAAGAAGCAGCTTCAGAGATCCGGTTTTTGAGTATCCTAGAATAAGTTTGTAACTTCCAAACCAGCAAGCTACAGCCATAAACACAGCAACAACTTTCTGGGAAGTAGTGTGGAATCTATAGACGGTCGATATAATCAGCATAAATTCCCAAAGTACAGTAAAAAGTGCTACAAATACAAAGGTTACATTAATGTACGGGGTGAGAATTCGATAACTCTTCCTTCCTTCAAGAAAGTCTTTCATATTTATGTTTTTGTTTTTAGGCAAATCAGGGTCATCAAACATTTCTCCAAGTTTTTTCCAGTCTTTAAATATCTTCACTTCTTCCGATATGGTAAGTAGATTGTGTATTAGCAGAAAAACGTGACCAGAAATATCAAATCCAAGCCATGACTTCCCATTTTTGATACATGCGTCTCTTCCAATAATTCCTTTCCCTGAACAAATTCCAACCACAGACTCGATATAATTTATCATGGATACCATTGTATACCACCAGAAAGTTCCCATGCAGAGCCTCAATAAATGGACTTTGACCATGCCCGTTTTACCCAAATTATACACATAACTTGTCTGTGTAATAAAGGCAGTCAATATCAAAAGGGTCCATCCCCAACCTAGCTTTACGAAATATTGATTAAATAAGTTATCTTTACTGGATAAGTAGGTTCTCGGAAGCTGGACCATGTCAGCCAAAACTGAACCGATGATGACGCCGGCAAAATACAGTCCAATCTTCACAGACGTATCAATGAGAAGTATTTTTCGACAGATTGACATCACCAACACCACCATAAACTGTGCAACATTTGTAGGCGGCGGGATTTGCTTTTTCTCTTGAGTTTTCTCTGTAGGCTTCTTTGACGAAGTCCTGGTCGACGCCATGTTTGTTGTTTACATTTATTAAAAAAGCCGGAAAGTTTAATATTAGGTGATCGGATAAATTATTTTATGTAAATTTTTGTTTTTTCTTTATAAATAATCACGATAACAAATCATAAAACATTTCTTTAAATTAAAATGAAAATAAATAAATATTATCAAAATTTGGGGCTAAAAATATTTATTTCTATAAAAATATTCCAATTATATCCGAAATAATTATTTTGGGTTGACTTTCCTTATTAGACGCTGGTTTTTCAAGCCGCCATTACAAAATTGACAGACACAACTTTTACATCCTTAGTCCTTGTTAATGCGTATTAACAATCCATCAGTGAGTATTTTTGTTGTTTATTTTTACACTCTTTTTACTACAGAAAGATAACTAAATCGAATGCAGAACATAGTATTTTGCTGACTCCATCTAAAAGTTGAGTTGATGTTCACATACGGACACAAAGTTTCGCATTTAATAATTCACACGATAATTTGTCTAAAAGTAAAGTAAGGCTTCTCTTAGCCTTTTGAATTATATGAATTTGTGTTACTTTAAAGACACACTCATTGAATATTTAAAAACCGATTTTATTTATCAATGACCATAATCATGATGTTTTCTCCCTTCAGGGGAGCTCACCACGAAAATCATTGCTACGGACCCTAGCTCTGCAAATATACTCATACAGTCTAGGGCCTAATGCACACTTTGCAAAATGTCATTCAGCAATTTTCATAATCTACAAAACATAAAATTCCTCATCTGCTTCACCTTGAGATTATAGTTTTCCTTAAATATATACTTATAGTCCAATGCATGCATATTTTGCAAAAGTTAAGTCCCTTTGTACAACATTTGTTGACCTTGACCTTTTCTTTGACATTGACCTTATTTTTCTGGAGAAAATGCTCAGTTCAGATTCAAGGTGAAAAAATTCATTCAACAGATCGGGATGAATCATCCAAAGGGGATATATTTGCATGTATTAGCCTATATAGGATATAATTTCCTAAATGGGATATAATTTTACAGTGCAAAAATTGATTTTTTATTTTGGCAATAAATGTCATATATCGGCAACAAAAAATCCTTATAATTTTGATTTGGCAAGCAAGTTTTTCATGAACAAGCTTATCCAGTCTGTTGATCCCTATGAGTTAAGGAACTTCTATGGAATCATTCTCCTTAAACAATTAATGAGTATATACAGAAAATCTTCTTAACCAAAAGTACTTATTTCCTTTATAAGTGTCTTGCTGCAGATTATGGCCAAAATAAAAATTTCAATTTTTTTCACTGTAAAATTTGTCTTATTTGGGACATCAGTGTTATATCCCATTTGGGCGAGTGGTCTCAACCTGTTCAAGAGATATTTTCATGAAACTCTGTATACTGATACACTAACCACTGATTAACATTTTTAACTTTTCCTTTAATTTCACCTTGACCTTCAATTTTGTATTGAATTTAATTATTTTCAAAGAACTATTTTATATTTGAACCTTCAATCTTTATCATACGGATAGATCAGTAATTTCTTTAAATACAGTATTTTAAGCTAATGATACATTCAATATATTGAAAAAAAAATGTATTTTTTCCTTTCAGACATGGAAGTTTTATGAAATATACAAACACCTGCCTTAAACCACCATGGATACATTCATCTGTGGTTCCTGTCAGATGACCTTCAATGACATAGAACAATTTGTTATCCACAAAAAAGATTGCAATGTTAATCTTTTACCCTCAGTGAGCCAACCAGAAACTCAGAGTGGTGAACAGGTGGAGAATGAAAATGTTGGCCATGTTGTAGTTTCAACAGCAGGTTTGTTCAGCTAAAATGACATATTTTTGTCATTTGAAATTGTATCTCAAACATTGTCATACTTTATCGGGAAACATATTTTATTGAATATTACAATAAGGATTGGGCAACAGGCAAGGACTATGTACACCCTCTCCTTTAAAACATGGTTATTTATCATTGTTTATAAACTAGAAAAGTATATTGGATATTTCTAAGTGATCAAGAAGTCCTACCTATTAATTTCTTAAGTATTTTTACCCTTGAAACATGTTTTCCTTGGATATCTCAAAGTTTTTTCTTGAGTTGGAGAGAATGAGGTTTGACTGTAATTTGTAAAATGTATGATATGTAATATAATTTAGCTACCCGTTAAACAATTATAATACACAATGGAATGTTCTCATAGATTCCAATGCTGAGGACCAGGTGGTGGCGTTTCCTGAGGGGAGCCGCGTGGTCACCACTGAGGTGGTGGATTCTGTGACAGGAGAACAGCAGACGGTCATCATTATACAGCCCGCCCCAGGGTCAGAGATGTCAGGGTCACAGGGGGTCACTCAAGAGGGCCAAACTCCAGGTTAGAGAAAAAAAAAGTTCAAATGACATCTGAAATCATTTTTCTGCACCTGATTTTAAACTAAAGTATCAAAATTACATATATTTAACTGGGTGTTTAATGTATTAAACAGAAGTATTATAAATGGATAACATGTATATAGTATTCTCAGGTGTAATATTTTTAGCTTCAGGAAAAAAGAGGGGCCGGCCTAAAAAGGAAAAACAGACTGATTCAGTTCCAGCAGCAAAGGTTCAGAAAGTGGAAAAACCTGCCGTTCCAGAAATGGGTACATGTCTATAAAACCAGGATGATTAAAGACAACTAATTTTTTTTTTCTTATTCAGATTTAGAAATTATATTGATAGTTGGATGTTTCTATAAGAAAACAATACATCTGGTTCAAGTGATTACACTTTTCTTGCAGGTGCTGATGGAAAACTTTACTGTAAAGCCTGTAAGAAGTCATTCCACAAGGAGAGGTTTTTTAAGACTCACAGGTGTATGCCGACAACAGACTATGTAGATATCACAAAGAAGAGTGTCCTCACTGTAGAATATGGTGAGTTCAAGTTCTAAAAGATAAATACATGACAGAATTGACGTATATTGCAAATTTTTAAGCAATGATTCGCACTGCTCATTGCACTGCTTGTAAACATGCAATTTACTAGATACATTTGCACTTGCTAATATACATGCAATTTGATGAATATTTGCACTTGCAAATATATGTGCAATTTACTGTACATTTGTTGACAGCAAGTACATGTATGAACTGAGATTTAATGGTTTAATTGTAAATGTAGGTGAGAATGAGGAAGCAGTGTCAGCCTCTGAAGATGAAGAACTAGATAATGATGAAGACAAAGACTTCCGAGTCAGTGACTACAAACTGAAGGACGCGGAGGAAGAGGAGGATGATGAAATAGAGGAAGATGCTGAGGAAGAAGAAGGGGAAGGGAAACCCAAGAAAAAGCGAAGATCTTACAAAGTCAGGATGGATGCTGATGGGGACGAAAATAAAGGGGCGCGTCCAACTGATCAAATCGGGGACGTACCTATATTTAGAACCGAGGCTGAAAAAGCCCTTTTTGAGCAGAGCTTGAATGTAGATCTGAGTTTTGTAGACAATCTTTTTCGTCAGCATATGATCGAGCAGGATTTGAATGATAAGGCTCCCGTGGCATCTCGTATGACAACTAACACATTGAGTCTATACTCTTGTAACATGTGTGACAAGATCTTCAAGACTTTGTCCCATATGAGATTGCATTGCTTGACTCACACTGATTCCAAGCCATTCAAATGTCCAAAATGTCTATATAGAAGTAATGGAAAAGGTAATACATTTACAAATACAAGTCTAGTACATTGTCTAATGAGAAACAATATTGAAGGAAAAAAATTCAATTTAAAATACTTTGGGATCCTAAAGTGACCTCTTTGATATTTGTTTTATTCTCTCATTTATTTGTTAATACATGTATATTGTCTTAACAGCCATGCTATAGTTGTTGTGCCCCTTGGTATATAAAATCAGTATTGAATATATGCACTGAATGCACTTTTGATAAATTTTGTTTTACTTAAATTGTTGAATTTAGGAAACCTGTACACACACATGAGGAAGCACACAGGACAATATTTCCGATGTAAATTCTGTGACTTCAAGTCAGTGAATAAAAGCCATGTTCTGGAACACGAGGCTGTACACAGCAATGTTAGGCACCAGTGTGATCTCTGTAAGAAAGACTATAACACCTTAAAGTCCCTCATCAACCATATCAGAAAGTATCATAAAAACACACCCAAGGGGGAGGAGTACCTGGCATCCTTTCTTCAGGGGGGTCGCCAAAGGGGCGCAACGGTTATTCATCAATGCCACGTGTGTAACAGAAAATTCAAAAAGAAGATTGACAGAGATCGTCACCTGTATGTACACGATATTAAGGACATCCCAACTATTCAGATGTGTACACTCTGTGATTATACAGCCAGTAGGAAAGTGTATCTGGAAAAACATTTTCAGAAGCACCGGGTCATTTACAGATGTGTGAAGTGTGAGGAGAAATTCCTGAGTACCATTCGTCTTATTGACCACCTCACCAACACACATTTACAGGACGACCCCACCACTAAGTGGGAGAGCATGTTTGAGGAATGTATCAACAGCAGCCTATATCTGCCCGAGCCCGACGAGAAGCTTAGCTCAGCTGAGAAGGAGTTGGTGAGTCTCCCAGCCGAGTTATCTCAGACCGACCTCCAGGGCCAGGCAAAGGTGGAGGTGGAACAGGTGCCAGGGGAGACAACCGGGACTATTGAGGCAGTGCAGGGGGAGCAGGATCTGCCAATGGCTGACTCAGAGGGACAGAGTAAGAATTTCATAGTGCTACTTGTAAAACACTGTTTTGTAAATTTCTTTATGTAAATATGTCAAAAATACAAAAGACTGCACATTTTCTTTTTAACAGTGTTTAAATTATTAGGAAATATTTGACAAAAATATAAATAATACTGTTGGATTTATTATTTCAGTAAAATTCTTTAAAAAAATTAAAAAAGTAAATTATGGATCTGTATATGTGCTTCATTTTACAACTCCAGATGTAGATGAAGAAGAAACTGACGTTAAACCATCACTGGAAGACGGGAATATCAAAGTAGAGAAAAATGATGATGAGGAAAATGAAGGCAGTGAACCTTTAACTTCTGATCCACAGTCTTCTTTAAAAAATGAAGATTCTTCATCACAGGCTGAGGAGGCTGGTCTTCCTCTTGTAGAAGATCAGGAAAGTGGCACAGTTAATGTAAATGAAGAAACTGTTCTGTCCTCTACTGAGAAAACTGGTGGGACATCTATTGAAGAGAATGTTCTAGAAATTACAAAGGAGGAGAAATTAGATTCTGCAGACCTCATCAAAACCTTAGGATACCGTCCGCTAACCCTGCAGGTATTTCACAAAATGAGGGAGACATTTGGGCATGAAGAATGTGAATACTGTGGAAAGCTGTATTACAATAAAATGGACTATGATCAGCATGTCAGAACACATACAGGTAAAAGATACAAGCTATCTCAACGTGATTGCACATAGCAAACTGACCGAAGGCTTATCTGAAGATGCTAGATCATTTTCTGATTTAACAACCAATTAAAAATTCATTTCAGGAGACAACCCTTATCCCTGCACAATTTGTGGATACCGTGCCTTGTCTAGAGATAGTCTGCAGTCTCACAAGGCTACCGAGCATGAGAAGTTGTCTTTCCCTTGTAAGGAGTGCGATTTTACAGCCAACAGTCGGTCACAGTTGTGGAACCACAGCCTTAAACATTCAGGTTTTGGAGAAGACATGGGCATAGAGTGCCCTGAATGTCAACAAAAACTGCCAAGGTTGTGAAAAATTAATTTAAAGCTGATATTACCCATAATGCATTTACATTTGAAAAAAAACAAATATGCTTATAGCTAATACACTTATAATGAATTGATGCTTACAGCGAAGTGAATTTTTTCCTCATGCCTATAAATATATTGTCATCTTAAAAGATTTAATGAATTATGCTTATAATGAAGCAACATCATCCATCTCTGGCACTTCATTATGTGTGTTTTTCTGTATACATGTAAAATAATGTGAGCTCTCTCTCTCTGCAAAAGAAGAAAACCCATTTTTTTCCAGCTTGACTTTATTTAAAGACCACGTAAGTGAGGCTCATCCTGATAGTAAGAACAAAGAGCTGAACAAGTTACATATCTATGCAGGCCTAGAGACCTCCCCCAAACACAAGGTCCAGGGGAAAATTGGTAAGACTGGTAACATTAAACAAACTGAAATTTTTGTATTTTATATGAACTGTAAAAATATTGTATATCTCTGCATTTCACTTTTATTAATCTATGAAATGTTACTGATTTTGATTGTTCTTTCCTCTTGAAATGTTCCTAGTCATATTTTTAGCTCAAACTGAACTACAAATACTGGCACTATGTGTTCCTCATTTGAAAAACAAATAAAACCTATTTTGTAGGCCGAAGAAGCTACAAGTGTCCCTACTGTGATAAAATGTTCTTCCGTGCCAACTCAGAGCTCCAAAAACACATCTGGATTCATGAAGGAGTGAAGCCATTTAAATGTCCCTTGTGTCCCCATGCCTGTAGGAGTAAGAACAACCTACAGGCTCACATGTTAAGGCATTCCAATGAGAAACCCTACACCTGCACAGAGTGTAACAAGGCTTACAAATCAAAAACAGCATTAAGGTGGCACGTCAGGTCCCATAAATCAGGAAGACTCTTCAAATGTAGCAAGTAAGGAATGTTTGTTATTAAGGATTCTCATCATGTGCAGGGTTTATACGTGTACATGTATTATATGAATTTATTCATTTGGGTATCTTTTTGCTAGAAAGGAACTTTTTAATTTGTAAGAAATATTGGACATGCAGTAAACAGCCAGTACCCAAAAACTCCTTGTGATTAGAAAATGTGTCCTAAACCCCTCAAACCCAATCCACCCCCTACCCCCTTTCCAAATCATAAAGAGTTGTTAATTCAGAAGATTGTTCAGCATTTGTTTTCCCATCAATTCACATGACAAAAGTAATACATGTACAGCATAAAAGTATTTGGAATTCAAATATCAACATTATATATATAGATATAAATTTTTTCATGTTTAAATAACCATAGTTTAGATCAACAAACAATTATATGCATGCTGACATTTTTCTTAAGGTGTCCTTATGAGGCCACTCAGGCAGCCCACTTGAGACGCCACATGGAAATTCACAATGTCATCAAGAAGTATGCCTGCCAGCACTGTAGCTACACAGCGAACACCCTGAGTTATCTGAAGGTCCACCATACGAGGAGTCACAAAGGAGTGCCCTACAAAAACGTAGATGTTCCCGTGGTAGAGGAGACTGGGCATGACTCTACTGGAACATCTCAGGTAGGTCTTCCTGCTTAATTCAAACTCCTTTCTCAATGAAAATGAATAATAGAAAATCTTTTCAGTGTTGTCAGAAAATACTGTAAACCAACTTTTATTCGCGACGACTTTATTTCGCGATTTACCAGGGATAGAGTAGTTCGCGACGATTAATTTTCGCGAGTAAGCTTTTTTGCCACAGTTTTCAATAGACAAATATACTACAAGGACCTGTTCGCGGCGAGAAATATTCGCGATGACGAGGCTCTCGCGAACTTCGCGAAAATTTCTCGCACGCGAATAAAAGTTGGTTTACAGTAAATAAAAATTTCGGCCACAATTGCAAGCATGCCTTGCATTTTGTTTATATGAGTGATCTGTATAGACACATTCACTGTACAAGAGATAACTGTTTATCTTGTATTAATTTGTGTTGAAAAATAATATTGCAAATGATTACAACCATTTGAGAATGCCAATCAAAGTGAAACACCTCTCATATATGATCTCTGGTACATGTATATTTATCTTAATAATGTGTCATGTAATAGATGCTATTTTTTTTTTAAAAAAGTAACACGTTAAGAGGACAGATAAAAGTATATGTAATGTTAAATATTACAATACCTGTGAAAACCTTCATTTCCAGGTTTACCGATGTTTAAGCTGTGACTACTTGTTTGGGAACTTGACAGATCTAAAGAGACATTTAAAGATTAGACATCATCTGACTCTGACAAACTTTGCTGGATTGGATGGAGATAAATCAACCGCCATAACTAACCTGACAGAACAGGTAAGAAAATCCAACTCTTTATTAGCTCACCTGAAACAGAGGGTTCAAGTCTGACAAAATTGTGTGCAGAATAAAATTTCCATGAAAGCATTTTAGCATTGATAGAATTATGTTCTTGTAATGTAAAAATGAATGGTAACACTCCAGAAATGTATCTGTGCAATCACAAATATCCAGTGATTTTAAAAAATCTAGATACAGTAATTATGCTTGTTGAAGTAAAAAACCTCTTTCTTATAAATGATTTCAGGTGAGCTCATTTCCAGAGGAGAGTTCCACTACTGGTTTGATGACAGAAGTAGGCCAGGTTGATGATGTACCAGAAATCAATGAAGTCCATACTGTCGATGCCTCAGTCACAGGTATAAAATATATAAACTTTTTTCCGTTGTAATTTTTTAGTTTTAGTGACTCTTTAATAGGCAGAATAATCCTAACTGGGATACATGCCAATTTCCTTGATGAAATTGTCAAAATAAAAAGGTATTTCTGTTCAACTTAGTTGTATTGGCAATATGTACATTTGGTAAAACTTAACAGGTTTATACCCCTGTAAGCCAATTCATTGATTTTTTTAATGATCAGTCATATACAGACTTGATGAGATTGGATGAAAGACAAAAAAAAAGAAATCCAAATGTATTTTTGTATTTCTTATTTTGTCATTGCATTGCAGGAAATTTTAAGAAAAATTCTTATTGCTTTTCAGAGATCGATTCCTCAAATCTGGATGCCAAAACTGCCTCAGCAGTCAATATTTTACAACAGATATTTGGAATGTCACAACAGGTATGCCAACAGACAATCTCCTCCACACAAGAAAGCTCTAAATATGTGCTTATGCTTCCATATCCAACTTTTTAATACACAAGCATATGCATGTATTATAAATACTGTACATTGAACTTACTTTCAGTGTAGTCTAGCAGTATACGTGCATGTAATATCTAGTGCCCCCATCTGCTTCTTGTTTGCTCCATCCCAGTATCTGTTTAAAACTACAGAATATTGTTTTTAGACTTCTTGTGTGCTAATTTATGATTGCACTATATTTTGAGTTCACTATAAATATGTGGATGTTGAAAGTACTTTAAGATAAGTGTACTAAGCTTTTACAAAGCAGCTAACCACACTGTAAACACTATTGCCTGCTGCATGTTCTTGAAAATAGATTTTTTTTTTTTTGAGATAGTACAAGCATAATAACTTGCGTTTTCTATTTTGCAGAATTCTGGTGGACCACAACAATTCACCATACAGTCAGAATCGGGGGAAGTAATGACTGTCAATCCCGAAACCATCATCGTCCAAGAGGGCGGAGAACAAGTTTTAGTTACAGACGGGAACCAGCCAGATAGTGGTCACCAGCAATACGTTATCCAGTACGTCAACCAAGAACAAATAGAGAACTCTATGGTAGAGATTCAGACCATTCAGGATGTTCAACATTTCCAGACAATTGAACAAGAAATCATTCATTCCATGGAGTCTCAACCTCTTGAGGACAATGTTGTTGAGCAGCAAATAGTGCAGAGCTGATAAATATCATTCCTTTTATTATCAATCTGATTGTTTTAATATATATCGAATTTTTAAAAACTCCCAGTATGAAGGTTATTATAATTAATATGAAAAAAAGACTCTAGCACTATCATCAGTGGATTTTTGGCTATAAAAGAAAATTCTTTGTAGATTTTTGATAGTAGCTAAAATCCATTATGGGCTTCTTTAGTTATGAAAAATAAAAATGTAAGAAATCAAATTGTTTTAAAAGTTTTATTTATTCTTGTCTTTTGGTTTTTTGTCCATGCCAGATAATGAATAGTGAAGTAGAAACCTTGTCTCTGAACATTTTCTCGAGAATTTCCAAATTAAAATTTGTAATTTCCAGTAGAGTTTGTGCATCTTCTGGATGCCGTATAATATTAATCTTCATCATATTTCTACAAGTCCAGTGCTGGAGTGAGCTAAATTTTTATTTAGGATTTCTTCTCATTTCCACTTTTTTCAGCAATTCCAAGCTCTATACGCAATTCTTTTGAATCGTAAATTCTAAAACGAAAAAAAAAATTAATTTTAAATCACACAAATGTACATAGTACCTTGTACACTTCATTTTAAAAACTCGTTGCACAATGTGAACCACTTACTTGGAAAGCTGTAGTCCCCCTGTTGTTTTGATGACATTTCTAACTTTTTCATGAAAATGTGCCATAGTGATAAACAAGGCCAGCACACATCTGATGACTTCATCTCCAACATCTCGACCTGAATCAGGAGGAAAGCATTTAATTCTGCCTCAAAATCAGTATCAACATGTAATAATCTTGATAATCGAATTATAAAACTGAGTATCTACAGAAACTCATGCTAGCTACAAATCATGGGTCTTGTACAATTAAACTTGTCTTATCCTGATGGGGTGTAATCTGAATTTTTTTTCTAATAAAATGTAAACTTAAAGTTCTACTGTAGAAAATTCAGTTGTTCTAAATATTGTCTAATCCAGAATGTATATTGCCTAATCAAGCCAATTTCTTGGTATCCAGTGGTATCCCGATTTGACAAGTTTTTACTGTATCAAATTTTTTATGACAATGTTTTTCATAAAATAGTCACATTTTGTATAATTACATTAGCAACAAAAATAGAAATTTTGGATCTTGTGGCACATAATCTTTAACAGTACATTACTATCAAATTTTGGGGAATCTAACCTTGTACTGCAATGAAGACTTTAGCCAGCTGTGGCATCATTCCTGATATTAGGACAGCTTTAATTAACTGGGGGTACATGGCTGTACAGGATGTCATTGCTGAAAACAAGAATAAATTGTACCAGTCATGTTATAATTCCTTCTAATAAAATGGTTTACTGTAACAATATGATAACTCTGTTTTACCATAATTCAATCAAATTTTAAAAATTGGCATTGAAACATGATAAACAAGAGATGTTTGTAAAACACTTATGCCCCACTCCCCCAAATGCCGGTATTTGGAATTTTTCTAACTCTAAGGGACATAACTCTGTCAAAAATGGCTCCTAGATATTTTAATGATAAATCTGTATACCAAATTTCATTTTAATATGTGCAACCTCTGCAAAGAAAATGAACAGAAATGGCAAATAACTGGAATTCTTCCATGTCTGAGGGGCATAACTCTGCCCAAAATAACCTGATAATACCAAAACAAAACTTGACCTAGATATTCTTATGATAAATCTGTACTGTATATCAAATTGCATTTGAATATGTGCAACCTATGCGAAGAAAATGAACAGAAACTGATAGTGGACCGAGAGACAGACCGACAGACAGCATTAAAGCAATATGCCCTCCCTTCTTCGAAGGGGGGCATAAAAATTATATTTATCAGTAATATTGTTGATTAAGTACGTACATTTAAACATTTTAAGCATACACTGGGAAGTAAATTTAGGCGCAATAAGTAATGTGAGGAGAAATATTACAATTAACAAAGAAGTATAAATAATACAGGTAAAATGTTGAAATAGAATAAGTACTTGAATCTTGATTATACCTTGTATTGTAAGAAACCAGAGTTGAGAAGCCTCCTCCCAGAAGGGGAGATAATTAGGAGATACAGTGAGGACGTCCTTCTTCCTGTTTTTAGAGCTGTTGATGAAGGCTCCCTTCACAAATGTACAGGCACAGATAAAGAAGTGCACCAAGACATCCTCAGCAGCAACTGTCAATATATACACTTTAAATGTACTGTTGATTCATATGCAATCTTATCTGACACCTTAATTTCAGACAAATTATTATTGGTTTATATTAAGCAAGACAAATTTTTCAGGAAATGTGGTTATTTTTGTAGATAATTGTTCGATTTTTAACATTTCTTCTAGGACTTTAATTTATCTAATTTATTTGACCTACCACTTCTTACTGCACAGCTTTGATGTCTCAAATAAAACATGCCAAGTGTAACCATTTTGAGCCACAAAGGGTTAAATTCTGTTTTTCTTCCTGAAAAAAGACATTCAAAACTAAGCTAAGACTACAAGCTAAGTGATTCAGTCTATATAAAGAAACACACACTCCTTCATCTATATGTGTAAGTTAACCTACACTTTATCCTTAAGAACTGAGGTCTACTTATCTGCAAGAGGCACTGCCTCCATTACAATCAGTGTAACATTTACTGAGTTGAGGTTTACTTACCTACAAGAGGAACTGCCTTCATTACAATCAGTGTAACATTTACTTACGTACAAGAGGCACTGCCTCCATTACAATCAGTGTGACATTTACTTACCTACAAGAGGCACTGCCTCCATTACAATCAGTGTAACATTTACTTACCTACAGGCACTGCCTCCAGGTTTACATTTACATACAAGAAGAGGCACTGCCCTTCATTACAATCAGTGTGACATTTACTTACGTACAAGAGGAACTGCCTTCATTACAATCAGTGTAACATTTACTTACCTACAAGAGGCACTGCCTCCATTACAATCAGTGTGACATTTACTTACCTACAAGAGGCACTGCCTCCATTACAATCAGTGTATCGTTTACTTACCTACAAGAGGCACTGCCTCCATTACAATCAGTGTGACATTTACTTACCTACAAGAGGCACTGCCTTCATTACAATCAGTGTGACATTTACTTACGTACAAGAGGCACTGCCTTCATTACAATCAGTGTAACATTTACTTACCTACAAGAGGCACTGCCTCCATTACAATCAGTGTGACATTTACTTACGTACAAGAGGCACTGCCTCCATTACAATCAGTGTATCATTTACTTACCTACAAGAGGCACTGCCTCTATTACAATCAGTGTAACGTTTACTTACCTACGAGTGGCACTGCCTCCATTACAATCAGTGTAACATTTACTTACCTACAAGAGGCACTGCCTCCATTACAATCAGTGTGACATTTACTTACGTACATGTACAAGAGGCACTGCCTCCATTACAATCAGTGTAACATTTACTTACCTACAAGAGGCACTGCCTCCATTACAATCAGTGTCACCTTTACTTACGTATAAGAGGCACTGCCTCCATTACAATCAGTGTAACATTTACTTACCTACGAGAGGCACTGCCTCCATTACAATCAGTGTAACATTTACTTACCTACAAGAGGCACTGCCTCCATTACAATCAGTGTCACATTTACTTACCTACAAGAGGCACTGCCTCCATTACAATCAGTGTAACATTTACTAAGTGTGTGCTCCTCCTAACCAAATTGGGCTCCATCACAGCAAAGTTCAGGAAAATATTACACAACAACTCCAATGCTTTCTACAAATCAAAAATACATACAACTATATCAAAGATATTGACAAGCATGACAAGTGATTGTGAACTTACCATTATAATTATACATTTTTAATAGAAAAAGTCATTCTTTTTAGAAATAGTTATATGATTTTGTGAATATTAAACTGAAAATACAGACCAAACCATTTAAGATATAGCAATATGCAAAAATAAGTAATCTGATCATTTGACTAAGGAACTAAAAATTGATAGCTGCCTTTCTTTACCCACTCCTACCAAGGAAGTACATATAACATTAAGTTTGATGTCAGCTTGAGAATATGTGATAGGGTACTTGCATGCTGAAAGTGCTCTCGGGTGGGGGGGTGTTCTATGACCTTTAAATTTAAATTCATCTTTTTTACATTTAAATATCATCTTACATGAAAGTGAATATATGGTCTTCATGTAAAAGGTATTTAAGCTATTGTATTATATAAAAGCATTGTTTTTTTTTTCAAAAGTATGTCAACATCTCCAACATGTCTAAGGTCAGTAGGTAAAAAATGTTGGTACCCTAAAAATGAAGTTTAACCCCTAAGATCAGGAGAAAGGTCATAAAAAATGTTGGTGCCTAAAATCATTTGCAATTTAAGGCTAAGGTGCAATTGATTACTTTCCAATTTACATTTTTTCACTCTTGCTCTGAAATACTCTCTTTGAAATAATTATATGAAAGATGTAAAATGTTAACAAGATACATACTACTACATTGTCATTGGAGTCATCCTTAAAATATCGCTTCAACATATGTTTCATATAATGGTTCAACATGGGTAACAGTTCATTGTCCACTAAGATCTGTCTGGGTTCATCCTCTGAGGTGAGATGACAGAGTCCAGGTAGGAGGAATCTCAGTAAATCCACACTCATACTTCCGGAATCTTCCAGATATGAGGCATCATCCTCATCCAGATCACTGTCCACAGCTCCATTGGAAACACTCTTAGAGGCCTCTACCTCATTATCACCAATCACCTTGTCAACATTTGGATCAACACTGGAAGAAGCACTATTGTCCTCATGGTTCATTTGGGAATTTCCATCACTAGAAATTGCTTCACAATTCTCCTTTGAATTTGCACTTTCCTCTTTAGTATCCTCAACTTCCTTTTTCAGTACCTCATGTTTCGAATTCTGAATCACATTTCCACAGTTACTGTTCACACTCTTGTGTCCTTCCTGTTTTCCTCTTTCAACTTCCATTTTTCCCTGTTCATCTACCCCTTCATCAACTTCCTTTCCTACTTTTTTCTCTTCACCTTGCTCTTCCTCGAAATTTCCTTCTTCCTCATCCTCCATGGTGAGGCATTCTGACAGTGCCTCGGAAATGGCTTGAGTGTCTATGTTCACTTTTTTCTTGATGTTTTCAAAACCAATGTCATCGATGAATCCTTTGGGATTTGCACCCAGGCCTCCCTCTTGAGAACTTAATATGTGGGAAAACTCCATCTGTAGTTTGCTAAAAGATAGAAGTTCACATTAAAATGACTTATAGAGTTATACCGAACTCATTACATGTAATATCTAACATATATATAATGACATCTTACCATAAATGTAACAAAAATGGCAGGATTTCATAAGTCTTTGATCTGAGGGCAGATGTTTCCTCAGCCAGCCATGCTCCTAAGACACGGACTGTAGCTATTACAACTGGGTTTTGATACTGAAAGAAGGTTTTCAAGTTAAGTGCGAATATAAATGATGCCAAGTATTGTTCACTCAATATGCAAACCCTTGTGAAAAATGTAGCTATTTATTTTCTTTGAAATTGTAATATCACTCAGTGAATGAAAAAATGTAATTCTTTAAGAAAAGCAAGGGAGGTAAAGGCTTACAAGGTCTAAACACTAACAGAAACAAGAGGCCCAGGGGCCACATCGCTCTACTGAGAAGCGTTGACCATTCTGTTCTTTACCAGATTTCCTCCTTGTGATACATAATGCATTCCCAACCTACCCCACTGATCATAATTTAGACATTTAGAAATCTACAGATCCCCAGGAACCTTCCATGTGCACATAAGTTTCAGCTTTTCTAGCCCAGTGGTTCTTGAGAAGAAGATTTTCAAAGATTTTTCCTATATATTTCTATGTAAAACTTTGATTCCCCATTGTGGCCCCGCCCTTCCCCCGGGGGTCATGATTTGAACAATTTAGAATCTACACTACCCCAGGATGCTTCCACATAAGTTTCAGCTTTTCTGGCCCAGTGGTTCTTGAGAAAAAGATTTTCACAGATTCACTCTCTATATTTCTATGCAAAACTTTGATTCCCCACATTTTGAATAATGTAGAATCTACACTTCCCCAGTAAAACTTTTCTGGCCCAGTGGTTCTTGAGAAGAAGATTTTCAAAGATTTTTCCTCTACATTTCTATGTAAAACTTTGATTCCCCATTGTGGCCCCGCCCTTCCCCCGGGGGTCATGATTTGAACAATTTAGAATCAACACTACCCCAGGATGCTTTCACATAAGTTTCAGCTTTTCTGGCCTAGTGGTTCTTGAGAAGAAGATTTTTTAATGATCCCACCCTATTTTTGTCTTTTCTTGATTATCTCCCCTTGTGAGGGGACTTGGCCCTTTATTTTAACAATTTAAATTCCACTTCACCCAAGGATAATTTGTACCAAGTTTGGTCAAAATTGGCCCAGTGGTTCTTGAGAAGAAGTCGAAAATGTGAAAAGTTTACAGACGGACAGAGGGACGGACAGACAGACGGACGGACGACGGACAAAATGTGATCAGAAAAGCTCACTTGAGCCTTTGGCTCAGGTGAGCTAAAAAGTCTGTGATTTTCTTACCTGTCCTTTGGCATTGTTTTCATCTGAAAGTTCCTTTAGGAAGAAAATGATGGAATGGAATGCCCCTAACATGGCTGAATGAAGCTGAAGGATCTGTTTTTCATCCAGTAGAAGACTAGGGGATGTGGTCAGGTAGATAATGATGTTCTCCAAAAGATGATAGCAAGCACAAAGCAAATCTGCCTTCTCTGAAATCTAATTAGATTCATTTATAAAACACTACTACCATTGTGTAATAAGTTGGTCCAACACATCTTCCAGTCCCCCAAAAACCAACTTTACATGGTGTGAAGATTTTTATCCATACCTTGTCCACGGGAAAGTTTTCCAGAGTCATCCTGACCTCGATACAACTGAGGTGTATAATCATTAGGAGCACTTTGTTGTCCTTCATGTTAGGGGGCAGAACAAACTCCATTCCTACTCGATCTATCAGGGAGGCCACCAGTTTCAGGGCTGGCTCTCTTTGAGCTTCTCCTGAAAATGCAGACAATAAAGAGGATTTATCAGAGAAATTAGTTTTCTTTAATCTTGGAAGTAATAAAGATGCATTTGGTATATTTCCTGAGTGTGTACCCTTCTGGGAAGTTTCAGTACTCCCATCCTTGAAATCCATCACAGAATAATGTAAAATTCCTTACATGTACATGAAATTCAAGGCTTGGAACATAAAAATGCTTAAATGGAATGTGATTAAATAGGTATTAGTTCTGACTTACCCAATCGACTGCTGAATATATCTTGAATTCCTTTCAAAATTGACTTATGCCATTGTTGCTGTTCAGCCTTTCTGAACTGAAATAAAAAAAAATAAATAAGCCTTCACAATTTAATGATATTTATTTCAAGAGGAAAGAATTTCAAGTTCATTTCCTTAAATTTAATTATAGATCCTTTCAAATTTTTAATGCACGTACATGTATGTTATCATCAAAACATGAACATTCAAATCTTACCTCAGATATAGGGGTCACTCTTAATATCATGCCAATGAAATTACAAAGTTCGAATTTTTCCTGGTCCTGAAATAAAATTATGGAAAAGTTAAGCATTAACACAAGTACTGTGTAAAACCAGAAATGAATAAATCATGGAACTATAAGACTGACAATTAATACAAGTAACTTGTTATATTACTTGCAGTCATAATCATGCTCCTCATGAAATACAACAATCTGCAAATACATGTGCTTTACATTACATCATTATATACATGTTGAAGACAAGCAAATACTATGGACTTGACATTCGCCAAAAATCAGACTCTGCAATTTGGAAGCATGAGAAAATGATCAAAAACACTATATTTATCATCCCTCCACTACTGTAAAGTTAACCAGTGTTCTTTCCTTGCAATGTTGTTCTGTACCTGATTTTCTGCCATTTTCTTGGCAAAATAGTTGAGCAGCCTTCCCAGAGCTTGTTCCTGTCCGGTCCAGACACACGGCTTCATTGTGTGCAATATGAAGGTCATCAAATCGAAGGCTTTTTTAGCTCCTGAGTTTCAAAAGAAATTAACACATATGAGCAGAATTTACATTTTATTATGAAGACAATTTGACAATATTCTAACAACAGTTACCTATGCAATAGTACTGTTTATGTTTCAAACTTTGAGTCAAAAGACTTCAATCAATGTAATTCTTTCTAATTAATCCTAGAGTTGTTAATCTGATGTCAATGCATTTTGGAAACTGAACACAACATATAAGACTGATAACTAATAATTTACTCTGTACCAAGAATATGTACATGAATACTGTATACCATATAATTCTTTAGCAATGACTTTGGTTAAGGCAGAGATGGTGCCATTGTCCAGCAAATGCTGTATTCCCTGCTGGGATCCAGCAAACATCTTCAGGATTTCAAACGCATCATTGATCATGTTATCCACCTCTTCATCGTCGTTACTATAGTAACAATCAACTAAAAATAATCTTTTGTACAAATGCACTTCATTATTTGAAATATAATAAATCACTTGAATTTGTTCTTGAAAATTTACATGTTGAATCAGTGTAAAATTATATAAATACCTCCGTCTGATCAGAATGACTTCATTCAGTGGTTTAAGAATGCGATACAAAGGGGCACTTTGCACCTAGAAGATATATTTTCAAAGTATCAAATTACATGTCCATCAGTAATGTAACTTGAAAAATTACACTGCTAAATGCATAGGTAAAACATTCATTAATTTTATAATTTACACACATCCAAAGTTTGACAAATTACATGTACATTGGGCATTAAATACAATGATACAAAAATCATCTATATTTCATAAACTTTAAGAATCCTTCTCCCCTGCCCACTACAAAATCTGTGAGATTCATCAAAATGCCTTAAAGAATCTTAACAAAATGTACATATATAATGTTTCTTACCAAGTCAGTATCAGCACAGAGCCCAGAGAGTACTGTTAATGCCATGCATTTGTAAATATTGGCAGAGCATTCTTCTGGCTGAGAATCTGCAATCATCAACATTTAATAATTACATGTACATATATATTTCTTACCTTTTTTAAAGTATTACATAAAGATACACATATTCATGTACATGTACATTTAAAATTGTTTCTATATATTGGATTTTAATTCCTGTTTGCTGTTTTTAATTCGGAATCCATAACCTCAAAACCAATCAGTCTGTGGACACCAAATGTAGAAAAAAATTGGAATGGCCTTATCACAGAGATCACAGTTGTAAAATATACTGAGCTTATACATGTTATATGCAAATAATCACAGAGTTCTTGAAATCTTTTGGTCCTGTCGGCAAAACCGATAAAAACAACCAAGGAACGATTACTTTGCATTCCGTGTCAGTCCAAATGACCAGTAATTGTTGAAATAAGAACTTTTGACAATCCGACCATATTTCGTATGAATTCCTTACAACCGACCGATCGTAATCTTTCAAACGCTTTTCTGCATCTTGTAATGGCTTGTAATGATAAACAAAAGTGCCAAACTATGATTGGCAAACTCATTTGTTGACGGCCCTATGGTAAGCCAGGTGAGAAAATCGAAATAGATTAAAAAACTTATGAAGCAAAATGGGCCCCCAAGAGAATTCAAAGAAAGTTGTAATACGAAGATCAAATCGTCATTAAGTGTGCAGTGTTTGTTGAAGTTGGGTACACAATGTTTCGATAATAAAATTCAAATACAGTTTTCATCTTTTTATTGATTTTTTTATTTGAACCGATAGAAATCTGTCTGACAAAATTCATATGACAGTCAGTTCAAATGACTGACAGCGAAAAAAGGATTTCAAGAACTCTGTAATCATGCATGATAAACATGTTAAATGTTTAGAAAAATTTAAGTATGAAATATATGAACCTGATTTCAGAAGTCTGATGAGAAATGACAATCCAATGGCATTAAAAATTCTTTTCTTGTCTTCTTTACTCATGTCTGAGCATCTTGTAGTTTTAGCCACCTAATTAATGAAAAATATACTCAATAAAATATACATTGTCCAATGCATATATGCACATGTATGTCAAATATACATTTTGTAAAAAGGATAATCCCAAAAAATTATATGTTTCTCCTTGCAAAGATTTTACAAAATCAAATTATAAAATTTTCACAATACCCATTTTTTAAAAAAAATAATTATTAGCTCAAAATGTCAAATTGAACAGAATTACCATCAACATGGCTGCAAACTTTTCATTGTCAGATGTAGCTTCCTGCAACTTGATGATGCATTTCTCCAAGTTTTTGTTCTCCATGCCTTTATCACTGCACACATAGAACCTAGCAACAACACACTTTAGTTTAAAGAAGATTTATTAAGTTAATACTTAAGAAAAAGTAAAATTTCATACTGAAATATTGCACTTATAGTGACTTTCATTGGCTTATAATTGAGCAACACATGACTTCTTGCTATATTTCTGTGTCTAACACACATGTACTTGTTTCGTATACAGCCTTACATGGCAATAAGATTAATTGGATTGTCTACGATGGCTTATAATTATTCAAGCAACATGAGACTTGTTGCTACATTTCTGTGTCTAGCAAACACGTTCTGTTTTGTATACAGGGCAATCGCTACACATCAGAGCTCAAGATAATTTTTTACCCTAAAGTGTATTTACTCCCTGATTTTTTTATCAATGCAGATTTTCATTTTCAGCAAAATGATTGAAGAGTAATGTATTTTGTTTATATATCAATGTTTTGACCTTTCTTTTGAGCTTGTAATCGAAGTATGTGTTTTTGAAGAGGGAAAAAACTTCAAAGGTCAGTTCCTGCATTTATTTAAATAAATTTTGCAAACACCAGCAAGACTTTTTGCTTAGATTGGGAAGCATTCTTTTTTGACAAGGAGGATTATACAGTAGGTCAAGTGCATTTACTAGGACACAATTTTCCTTCATTTAAGAGTCGTATCAATGTAAACAGAGAAAAGGTAATTGTGGTAAGTTGAGAGAGATGAAAAAATTGGCTATGAACCCATAATAAAAAAAATTATGCCTAGTGCATAGTCTATATGGAAATTGATTTTTTTGGGATAAAAGGCATATTAGAATATTCCTCGTCACTAAAAGGCTTTTGAATATGCACTTCGTTTTGATAAAAATTAAACACTGAGTTAACCTCTATTCGTATCATTAAGTAAGTCATACCTGTATTCTTCAACTTGTCGTGTGCAGTACTTTCGAGGTGTAATGCGTATCTATGATTGCTAATGCGTAATTGTATGCTCCAATTTAATTTTCAATGCATATTTTGTAAAATTTAATGCGTATTTCTGCAAATACGCACATTATCTGGAGCTCTGACACATGTTAGAATTAGTTTGCCTGTCTATGAAATAAGTGCCTGTGCCTGTGGTCGTAAAGGTGAGGATACCATCCAACAGAAGAAACTTTGGATATATGTGCGGACGTGTTCTATTTTGCTTGCAAATAGCCCATTCTGCATGCTGCAAATTGTAACCCAACATATTTTGCTACTAACAAAAAAAGAGACAATTATCAAACATATTACGTGACACCCCTCGTCAATGTGACCTTTTATTTTCAGCACAATAAAGAGAAAATTTCATTCGTTTGATTGATTCAATGTTGTGCTATGAGACAAGTTTTTTACAGTACTGAGGAAATTCGAACAAGTAGCGTATCATGATAGTGTGCATTCATAACCTCCTAGCCAGACCTGACAACGGTTTCAACAACTAGAGTCTACCTTGATCCAAAGTAACCCTTGGAGAGAACTTTATTTTCCGTCCAGCTGTCGAGTGTACCCCGATAACTGCTGTTCCGATTGGAATCAGGAAAAATTTGCAGTCACTGAGTCAGGCACGATTCTTATTCGATCGATACTTCTTAGCCTCCGAATACAAAAGAGTAGTATTAAAGAAATGTAACTCCGTTTCATTTTTATGCCCCCGTAAACGAAGTTTCGGGGGTATATAGTTTTTGTCGTGTCCGTCCACGGGCACTGGAAGTTAATGTAAATATATAGTATATGTGCATGTATAAAAAAAATACATGCACATACTAACGGTATATATTTACATGAACTTCCAGTGCCCGTTTGTCTGTCTGTCCCCGTAAACGAAGTTTCGGGGGTATATAGTTTTTGTCGTGTCCGTCTGTCTGTCTAGCTGTTTGTCCGATAAAACTTTAACCTTGCCCATAACTTTTGATTTAGTGGAGCCATGACTTTCATATTTCACATGTGTATTCCTCGTGACAAGAATTTTCTTTGGGTACCACCAAATTTGACCTTGACCTTGATCTTGGAGTTTGACCCACTTTTACATAAAACTTTAAAACATTTACTTTGGCCATATTTTTTGAACAGTAGATACCAGGACATTTATACTTCACATATGTAATGTTTGTGAAAGACCTTTCATTGGATACCAACAACCTTGACCCTTTGAGCTTGTAGATTTCCGTACTTGTGAAAAAACTTTAACCATGGCCATAACTTTTGAACGGTAAGGGGTACGGCTTTCATACTTCATATATGTAATCCTTGTGAGAAGACCATTCGTTGGATACCAAGAACTTTGACCCCTTTGACCTTGACCTTTGATATTGCCCTACCTTAAATAAGCAAATCTTGACCAAAACTTTTAAAAGCTTAGGGCTAGTGCTTTCATACTTTACATATTTAATCTTTGTGACAAGACCTTTCATTTGATAACAACAACTTTGACCCTTCGACCTTGACCTTGGAATTTGACCTACTTTTTCAAAAATTGAACCTTGGCCATAACTTCTGAACTTCTAGGGCTAGGGCTTTCATGCTCTACATAAGTATTCTATGTGGCAAGACCTTTTATTTGATACCAAATTACATTGACATTTTGACCTTGACCTTGGAGATTTGTGTACTTATTGAAAAAAAACTTCAACATTAATTGGCTTACTTTCAAATTTCACAATTGTTTTCCTGTGAGAATACCCTACTTTTAGTACCAATTAATTAAATTTGCATTTAAGAAAAGTTTAATCTTTGATATGTTGCCATACGGGGGCATCAGTGTTTCACAAACACATCTTGTTTTATTTTAAAATTAATTGATTTAATTTATCTATTATTTTTATTTGAGTAGGTGAGACTTTCTTATATTCCTCATGTGTTCCCTGCGACAAGATCTTTAATTCATCGGGAACCACCAAATTTGACCTGTTGACCTTGAAGTTTGACTCACTTTTACAAAAAAAATTATAAAATTTTTGGCTTGGCCATAACTTTTGAATAGGCTTAGTTGTTACTAGGGATTTAACTTCCAAATGTGTATTCATTATGACAAGACTTTTACAAGGAATTGTGATATTTTTTTTATCTTTTGACCTTGACCTTAGAGTTTTACTCACAGGCACTTGGGGGTTGACCCTCCCCTCCCCCTTCTCTTGCAATCCTTTCTAACGTAAGTTCTCATTGGCTTACGCCATGATGATTATGACATCACGTTTCTAGTTGGCTTGCTTTGTGTTGTGGTAACGTCTCATAACCACGACATTTGTTGAACAGATCGAACGCTTTTATTTGTTGTCCCAATTTTCTCCCAAGTTTACCTAACTGAACAAAGAAATGGAGCTAAAAGTGCACAGAAGCAGAGATAAGAGGGCAACGCCTCCTCTCATATATTTTGTATAGTAAAAAAAATCAATGTTGATTTCATATTTAATTTTTTAAAATTATCCTACTTCAAAAAGGAGGGATGGGTTACGTGTTATGTCAGCATCCATCCATTAACACACCCGTCTTTTTTCAATCTTATTTGTTAAAAAATTAAAGTTTTTTTTTTTTGCATTCCCCCTCCCCCTAATAGAAATCATGCATTCAATTTGTTTTGTATTTAAATCAGCGGTTTGTGCATTTGGGAACCGATTTATGATATAGTTGCATGTAATCAAGTATATAATACATTTCTGTATCTCTCTGCATATGTAGAGAATATTAATGTGATAATTTATTAAAGAAGAAGCATTAGAAATATCTTAATAAGAATTTTCAGGGCATGTAGCAAATTATTTTTCTAGCACTACATTATCCTGGACGTCGCTATTGACAACGACATCCTGTTTTCGTTATTGAGGAGGAAGGGGGGGGGGAGTAAACATTGTTTAAGGAATGAATTTAATAGCTACCCATTTTATACGGTATAAAGTGGGTTGGGGCAGTTTAAGCGGTTTATAAAAAAAATACCGTGTAAAATGGGTGGCTATTAATTCTATTGCTTATAATTTAATTTTCATTCATTTGATGTAAGAAAAAAGGTGATATTTCTAATAAAATGACTTCAATTTGTACAAAATTTGAATGCAACGTAAGGCGGATTGATACGTTTTTGACGAAAGTCATTGTGACGTAGGCAACCCCTTTTACACGATATAAAGTAAATTTTTCATCCAAACAAGCGTTACAACCAGAATTAAATTATAAGAGAATCAAAGTCCATATTTTGTTGCAACGATTTTTTATTTGGAAAGTTTGTTCTAAAACAGGAAAGATGTGTCAATGAAAGATCAAGATAAAAAAATATCCGCATTATATATTTTGTTGTTAATTTCTGACACTGATCAGTTGCTTGAAATTAATGGCAACATATTTTTGATATTTAACACCCCCCCCCCCCCCCCAAAAAAAAAAAAAAAAAAAAAAAAACCAACCAACCAACCAACCAAAACAAAACAAAACAAAAATATAGCATAAACTAATATCACAACTAAAGATACTTTGTTTCTATTATCCACCAAAAATATTATGCCATATTACATTTATAGTCAAGGATTTAAATTCCCCTGTGAGATCACAATTGATGCATGTTCTTTTTTTTTATTGTTTATAAAACACATTTTGATTTATTTCTACATTTTTTGAATTATTTATTTTTACATATTTTAGAATACGAAGAGGGTAAAATACTAAAAGATCAAGAGGTCGGGACTTCAAAATCATTTCGACATATGCATGGTATTTGGGATATCGGTGTTTGAGATACCGAAAGTTCAACTGAACTTAATTAAGAAGCTTGGCCCCGGATTATTTATAAATACATATTAAATATATAGTTTGATTGTTTGTTGCTTAAGATTTTTTCACTCATATGGAGACAGCACCACTTGCCGGTGGAGAGCTTCAAATTTTGTTCCATACTCTTCACTTATGACCGTTGAGCAGTGAGGGATCTTTTTCGTGCCAGCACCAACTGCGACACGGGGCATCGGCGACGTTTTTGGAGCGTAACACAGATCTGATTTTAATCAGATTAGGTTTATACGGCCCTATCCGAAGGACCGGTCTTCAAGTCCCAAAGTGGTATTCGAACGCGCGACGTAAGAATCAACTCCTGACCCCGCGACTCAAGAGCAGACGCTCTTACCACTGTGTCACGCGATATTCTCAATTTTACTGAGTTTGAAAACTGAAGAAAACTTTTTTCCTGAATGAATATGAATCTTGAAATTACTTTTTATTTCAGGGACTGGACTCTACTGAACCCCAGAAGGAAACAGAACCAAAACAGGTGGCATCAGCGCTCAGACAGGTATATGTTAATTCTGTTGAATGGTAGTCAGTTACTGAGGGCTAATCATATTCTCATTTTAGATATTATGTTATTGATCCACCGATAATAAATGTTAGATTGAAAAAAGCAAGTACATGATTATATATTTGGGAATATTATAAATATGTTATATATGTATCACATCAAATACATATTAGTATTTCATATTATATGTATAACATGGATATATTTCAGAAACGTTATGACACAGATACATGTAGGACTTCATCAGAAAGTGGACACTCGCCTGACGAGGAATGTAAGGTATAGAATATAAAGTTTATTCAAAATTGACCGATTGATTTGTTTAACGTCCCTGTCGATAATTTTTCACTCATATGGAGACGCCACCACTTGCCGATGGAGAGTTGCAAATTTTGTTCGATGCTCGGCACTTAGGGCCATTGAGCATAGTGCCAGCACCTAAGAAGATTTTTAAAGAATAAATGCCAGCAATATAACCAATACTGCACCAGACACGGGACCTGGGGCCTTAAAATTCACAATTTTGAAAGAGGCACTCCATTTCCACAGTGAGTTTATTTAATACACAAGCAATAGTAAGGATCAACTTGCCTTTTCACTATATAATCAATAGCCCCGCCCTAGCACCAGAACCCCTGACTACTGCGGCCATGAAATTCACAATTTTGGAAGAGGTATATTCAATAAAAATGTTGAATATTTCCTTAATACCCAGGAGCGTATTTTTTAATTTTAATATATAATCATAAGTATAATCATAAATGTTCTAATTATTCAATGTACTTATTTTTAAATATATAAGAATATTTCAAAGAATTAATGCATTTTCACTTTTTAATCTCACCCTAACACCAGAACCCCTGACCCTGAGGCTGAAATTCACAATTTAGGAAGAGGCATTTCATCATAACAATGTACTTAAAATTTAATACCCAGGAGAAGATTTTCAAAGAATTAATGCATTTTCAATATATAATCAATAGAGCCCCGCCCTAGCACCAGAACTCCTAACCCTGGGGCCATGAAATTCACAATTTAGGGAGAGGCACTCTTTGTCTTCATAACAATGTATTTAGTTAGATTATTTAATACCCAGGAGCAGAGAAGAAGATTTTCAAAGAATTAATGCATTTTCACTATATAATCAATAGAGCCCCGCCCTAACACCAGAACCCCTGACCCTGGGGCCATAAAATTCACAAATCTGAAAAAGGCACTCTTGCTCATCATAACTATGTACTTAGATTGTTAATTTGATACCAAGAGAAAAATTAATAAT